ATATATATATATATATATATATATATATATATATATATATATATATATATATATAAGATTAAGCATATGTTTGGCTAATGTTTATAAATTGATAGAAATAAGTGATGAATAAATGGTATTACTTTGTGGTGGAGGGAGGTGTGGGTCGACGAATCCCTGACCCTAGTTAAAATGGGACTTTAAAAAAAAATTGTTGTTAAATACGTCCCTCACTAGATTCGAGTTCGGCCTCATAAGTGATTATAAACACTTGCACTGGCCAAACATGCTCTAAGAAAGAGACGCAATGTATTGTTATTGTGTCCATCTAGTATGCTAGACTCGATAAAGTTAAACAAGATAATGAACAATAATTTCACGTCTCTCTTTCCTAGTCATATTCATATCAACTTGTGATCAATTCAGCGTATCATGCACACATTCACTACATGATTGATAAGATAAATTGTAAAATAATAGAGAATACTAAGAAATAAATTATTGTTTATCTTATTGTTAAGTCTCGTTTAATGCAGTGTAACAAACGTGCTTCTGTGCTTCAACTTATGCTTTGGGAACAACGATCTGTGACAATAATGGAAACCTTAATTTTATCCTTGAAAAGTACATGTATGTGTGAAACTTTGAGAACCCTTTAAGGAAAAGAGAAGTCAGAATCCAACTGTTACGTATTTTCAGATGAGTGGAGGGGCACCAAGAAAAGAGATTGCTTCACAAGTTGTACATATGGTTTCATGATTAATACATCAGACATCAGTTACCCTTTTTTTAGAATAACTAATAATTTATTTTCTTTCACTCGAACGACATAGTTGGTACAATGAAACGTATAAAATTAGATAGAATTGAGAAGGTATAAATTAAATATTTATTTTATCCAATACTGTCACATATCGTATAGAATTCTGGAGTTTTATTTTAAAGATTTAACTTTATTGAAAAAAGTAATTCGAACCCTTATATATATTAATTATTATTTTCATAATTAAGGGATTAATGTATTGAATTTTAGGTTAGAATAAGTCGTGTTGTGCTTTACAACCTGTTGCATGCTGTGACATGTGTGACCTTTCTATCCATAGCTCATATGGAAAGGGTGGCAGAGTGTGACCCTATTAAAGCTTTTGAAACATGGAATTTTAGAGAATGAAATCATGTGCTATGTCCTAAATATCAAAGCCTTTTTGTTATAATAAATGAACAAAGTTGGGTTGTACAATCAACCAAGCATATATGCTTCCTACTTTTTCATATATAGCATAGTTGTCATCTTACATTTTTTTTTGGCAGGGCAATGTTCTTTTCACTTATAATTTTACTTCATCGCCTACTATTAGTTGAATTGCACATCGAGCTTTTTTTTTTCCACTTTTTCTTAATCTTTTAGAAAACGACCCCATAAACGGAAATCATCAACGATCAAAAAGGTCAAATCGATAATAACTTGAATAAACGACGATGTTTAGGAAGTGAACTAGTCGATTTTTGGATGAATTGGCCAGTTAGGTTGTCGAATTGCCCCGATTCGATTTAGGATTAGTCTAAATGTACACAATCCATTACATAATGAATTACGCCCCCTTACATGGAGGGGGCCACACACAATAAAATATTGATGGGTCCCTCTCAATGTGAGGGGGTGTAATCCATTATGTAATGGATTGGGTATACATGTAGCACAACCCTTCGATTTAATGGTTTTACCACCTTTTGAACCATTTCCCAAAAGTAACATTGCCTATCTTCTTCAATCACATCGAGTTTAACATATTAAACACATCATTTATACATTGAACGAGTCTCAAACACACTTCATGTTTATAGGAATCTAGAGTAATGATAATCTGATCGTCAACTATTCTGAATTTGTGCTCATTCCACAGACACAAATTCAGAACCTCATGCACAATTCAGTACGTAAAGATGATTTATGATAAAAGACTATTATCGAGTAACTGAACACTTAATAATCAAGATCAACACGAGTGAAGTCAAGAATTTGTATCCTTGGACCCAAATTATCTAGTGTGCTTAGCAGTCACGATACAAACAGTAGCATCAAGAAAATGAAATCCTATTACTCAAAATATTAAAAAAAAGTACTAGAAAGTTACTACCAAAGGAGAGTGACACGATGCCAGGGTTTGCCATTGTCCAACCTTACATGGCAAGCCGTAATACGAAAGGAGAAAAAATAACATAAAATCTGATCCATAATTTAAATCTTGTGATAATTGACCTCTTTCGACCTTCAATGATGCTGCTTAATCCGTACTCCATCGCAAGAAATCAAGTGCACGATAGCCTGTAAATCTACAGGAATGGGGGCAGTATTACCCATCGTCGGGGATATCTTGGTCTTCCCTCCTTTCCATCAAATAGCTGCCAAAGGACATACAGGTAAGAATAAAAACTATGTTAACAACAAACTATGGTCCATATGCTTGCCACGCTTTGTGCCTAAAGAAATGGCTTATGATCATTCTCAATAACAAGCAAAACTAAACTTGAACAAATTTCGTATCAAGTTGTCTGGTCTAGGCCTATTGGAGTAAGAAAACTGAGCAATAATGCTGGGCTGCCAGGGAGGGTGTCAAGGGCTGCCAGGGAGGGTGTGACACCCTCCCTGACAGGCCCCTCACAATAGGGGGGAGGGGGATTTTTTTTTCCTTTTTTAATTCATATGGGTCCCGCATGGGTCCCACCACAAATGTGAGAGTATGTCAACCAAAGTGTCAAATTAATTCTGGTAAAATGGCATTTTCCTCTCAGCAAAGTCATATGAACCCAGGGAAGCTACTCGAGTGACCATTATATTGACCTCTACCCACCGGATAAGTTTTGAATGAAGTAGCAAAGAAGGCTGATTTACAGAAAACCTAGGCTCATATTGGCAAGGCAGAATATCATCCCAAGTGGGTCCACACTAAGCAAAGATGGGATATGTCATCTGTTTCTTCCTTAATTATCAAAAAGCAACAAGAGAAAAATAATTTACCTTCTTTAATCGACGGTGCTTTGCAAGAGCCCAGTTTGTCATTATGGAGGCAGCAACAACCATAAAGATATAGCCTGCTACGGTCTGTGTAGCAATGTTGAAGCCTAGCCACTGATAAATCTCGGTTGTGTAATTTGCACATGTGACAATGTTGAATAAAAAGCCACGTGGGATTTGATACCCTCCACCACTATCGGCACCCCGGAGATTTCTCAACAAGATATGGCAATAGAAATTTGCAATTTGACAAAGCAACCCAAACCCAAACCCAATCTTCATTTGAAGATCATTGACTGGTGTGTAATGTGGGTGGTTGACATAATAAGCAATAAAAGCACCAAAGCTCCAGTAATAAGCACAGTTCCGAAAGACATTGGAAAGGGGTGACGTAGCATGGCTGAAACGGTGCACGAAAAAGGTTTCCATTATACGTTTGAAGTAGTGGAAACACCAGTAATACAAGGCATAAGTCTGGACTGGGTGGATGACGCGCTCCTTTTTGTAGCCAAAAAACTGGTACACAGGGAAGTAATAGAAGATAGGATAGAGGATCAAAGGACCCAAGTATTCCCAGAAGAAAAGGGTGCTATACTTGACTTGGGGACCTAGATCCTTGAAAACCACGGTCAACGTGTCTTCATTCCCATCGGTGTATTCCTTGAGACTCTTCTTGTAGTGAAGGACGGTAGGCTTCTCTTTTGATCCCGGTGGAATAGGCAGGGTCAATCGCTGTCTAGAGGGATAATACTTCTTGGCTGTAGCCAGAATACATTAAATTATATTGAAAACGTCATATGCAAAATAGCATAACTCAAATAGAAAGAAATGAAGAAAAAGAACACTGTAAAGCAAGAGAAGAGATAATCACAGAACGGCTTTCAATAACCTTAAGCTTTTGACCAGTTGACCTAACAAACGATGCATTCGTCGATTGTTTTGGTACATCCAAGTATATGATCTTGTTATATGCACTCATTAGCTACATGTGTATATGTATTGGGGGGTGTGTGTTTCCATATCTCAATTAACAGAAAATACAATACAGGAAATTGAGATTTACAAGCAAATAACTACAGAATAGAAAATCAAAGTCAAAGTTGAAAGACTTAAAAGATACAGCTGACCTTAACAGAACTGTTCACTGATGTTCGTTACAATTCTGAAGACGCATCCGCATTAATGTGGCAATTTAAATAAAACAGAACAATCTTCTGCATTCATAAGGCATGCAGCTGAAGATTATGCTCCTAAATATATCTTGAGATGCAAATTCTTAATTCATCAGAAAAAAGAGAAAAGTGATACTCCCCCCCATCTACCACACCCCCTCTTAGTACAAAGTCGATAAAAAGTTGCACCTCATCTCTACAATTTCAAACATGAAATATAAAATCTACCATCCACTTCCTACCGCATGGTTTAAAATGGCTTTATATATGCATATGTGACTTACTCTCAATTTTCCAAAGCTAACTTTGAATGCGTAAGTACTTAAGAAAGAACCAGAGGAACTAAAATATCTACTAAGAAAGTGCAATTGATGGAAGAGATTTTTCTCATCATTTCTACATGACTGTATCATTCCGGTGGATAACGGATATCCTCTGTCCCATCCCCTCTCCCACAACTCAACGAGAGCATTTGATTTTGGGTGTTTAAAGACTTACCGGAAAAACTTCAAACAACATTTGCTTTGGAGACAAGTTTTTTTAACAAAAACATAAATTCATATCTATGGATAAAACAAATGCACTGAAAAGATCATAAGCATCTGACTTGTTCTTAGCATCAAACTTTTCATCTCTCCTATTATTTAAATAACTCTTAACTAATTTCGTAAGAACTTCCAATCCCTTTATATCTCTTTTTGTCATTGGTTTACAAATGTAGGTACTAATTTGGGAGTTATTGACATTCAGAGGTTCAAGATGGACTTGGAGCAATTTTTTCCCCCTAATTGCCCTATACCTTTCCTTATTTATTCTTCTGATATTTCGGGTTTTACTCCATATGAAGTGCATGGAATTTAACATGGAGAATCCTGATCCTCTCTATGTATTATACTTGTACATGCAGGAATAATTAAATTTCAGGATGCTACTATTCACAAAGAATTACATCGAGCTTTAACCCAGCTACGAATAATCTTCCTCTGGCAATACCATTCCTCCTCTCAAGAATACAAAGTATGCGCTTCAATCCAACAAAGAGCATACATAAGAGCCAAATATTAAACCAATAGAAGTAAAAAGAAAGTGAGTCTAGCTCACTTGTGATTGCCTAGTGGTTTAAAATTATTATTCATGCCTTGATTGAATAAAAAATATTACACCAAAAACACGCTCAGTGAATGCACATTTCCAAATAAACATTCCTAGCAAATGCCTTCAACAAATTATAATAATTAAATTCCAAGTGATATCAGGCTATGAAACATATGCAAGCAAGCCAACAGCTTTAGCCTGGAGACTAAAACTTGTTTAAGTTACTTTATTCCGTAGAAAAAGTCAAAGAATTTAAATGTCTTGTGCTCCGAAGAAAAAAGAAACAGTAACAAATGCATTTAAGCTAATAACTATAATATTGGTGTAATGAACAAGAACCGAATAAACCAAGAATCTACATTTTCTGCAGAAGTTACATCATGAATGAGCAAAAAGAACTCATTTTCTAATAAACAATTAGTTTCGAAAAAATAGTGATATGTGACAAATAAAATGTAGATGCAGAGCGATATATATAATGTACTTATGTGGCAAACATTGATTCACAGTTTTAAATTTCATGGAGAGAGCAATCATGATGTCAATTTGTAACAAAAGAATAGCACATTTCGCTTTTTCATTTATAGAATATTCCATATATTTTAAGACCGTTTCTCTAATCACTACTGCTGTAAAATCACACATATTTTCCCAACAACTACCTTGAGTAACTCTTACAAACATGACAGAAAATTCAGCATTCAATGCGAAGAAATTCAAGGAAAAAAAAATTCTTAAAACAGAACTATAACAGAAACTTGGTAATAACATACATCGTTTGTGAATTGCTTCCTGCAGATCAGCCACAGTAGCCTAAAAAACAAGAACAGATTACAATTAGAACCATACACGTGTTCTTCTTTAAGACATTAACACGAACACCAAACACACACCCAAATCAAGATTTGAACTCTAAACGAACAACAAAAGATGAACCAATTGAGGAAAAAACAAGAAACTTACAGAATCACTGAGCTCAAGGCCACCCTTTATGAGTTCTCTGCCGCTACGAGTCGTGACCACCACCTTCATATTTGTTCCAAGATTTAAGAGAAACCCAGTGTTTTTTCTGTTCAAGATCTACTCAAGATTATAGATATGGACTCGGATTTAGCTAGGAGGGGAGATTTATATGAAGGTGAAGAAGTCCAACGAGGCAGGAACAAGCAATTAATGGCGTGTAGTTGGGGTAGATGGCCAAACCAATTGCACCGATAAACCACTCTACACCCTACTACCTTCACAAATTAAATTCACATTAGCATCAATACTTTAATGAATAATGCTATTTATTGAGTGATAAGTTAAATGAAAAATTAAAATCATCACTTATTATTTAATATCATGCCACAATTGAGATTAATGTTAAATAGCATTACTCTACTTTGATGAGAAATTTGGCCGCACCTTTGATCCATAAAAAAAAATAATAAAAATTCAAAAGGTTTTAATTGGTAAAAAGACAAAATTGTCATTCAATTTTTAAATAAAAAAATGAAGAAATTACACCTAGTGTCATTTTGCTACCATATAATTACCAAAATGTCACATTTTTAAATTAGTTGCAAGAATGTCATAATTAGACATTTTTATCTCTCTGCATAATTTCAATACCTAAAATGTCCACCATTAATTGAGATTTGACTCCATATTAAATTTGTACTATTTGTCATCTCCAAAACGTCAAAACAAGGAAAAAAGGGAGGAAAATAATTGTCATCTGCAAAACACAGACAACCCTAATTGGGATTTTCATTTGGGAGTTCGACCGGTGACCCACCACCGGCCAAAGCAAGAAAGTTCGACCTAGGCCTCGGGCCCAAAAATTAAAGGGCCTCATATATTTTTTTCGTAATACTCATTCCTATTCTTATATGTCTTCCTCAATTCCACGCATCAGAAACGACGAATTCTGAAACGGCGAAACCCACCCTCGACGGGCTGTCTTCTTGCTTCTCTCTCAGCCGTCCACGGTTTACCGTCCGCCATCGTGCCCCGCCACTGCTTGCCTACGGTATAAACTCTGATTTCTATGTATTCCTTCTCTTTTTTGCCTGAATTGCCTGATTTTCGTGGAGGGTTGGTTAGAGATTCTGAGTTTTATTCAGTTTTGGTTGATGAGTTTTGCAATAATGACATCTTATTGGAGGGGTTGAGGGTTTTGAGGGTGATGGTCAGTGAGAATTTGGTGGTTGGGGTTAGGGATGATGTAAGGGTGTTTATTTACAGGGGTCTATTAAGGGAGGTCAGGATTAGGGACGCCATGGAATTGAATGAGACTTTGTGCTGTGTTTATGCTAGTGGTGCTGGTGTGATGGTGAAACTGTGAAGATGGTAGTGGATTTATTGGATTGCTTGATAGACAATTGGTTTCAATAGAAATACAAGTAATCGATTTCCTGTGCATTACTTGATTTTATTTTTTTACATGATTGTGGTAAGAATTAATTTGTTATGATGTTCTAGTTTGAAATAGTTTGCTTTCTACTAATAATCATAATGTTATCTTTAACAAAAACTCGAGGACAAAGATAAGATAGCTAATTTTGCATTGATTATTTGTGAATTAAATGGAGATTGCATTAATAAATAGGTGTGATTAAAAAAATAAATAAAATGAAGTCACTCAATACGAACTGTGATATTAGAAGGATGTGGTTTGTAAAAACTTAAGTACAATTTAATTATGCATTTTTCATTTGAATGCTTGATGCTTTCATGTGATGGATAAACTTGCCTGGTCCAGATTCACTGATTTCACTTGTATGACCATCTTGTCCTCTTAAACTATAACCATAATACTTGACCCAATCTTAATAAAGCATGGCTTTGTTATTGATTTTACAATGGATTGTCATTGATATACCTTGATTTGCACGTTTTTTAGCAGTAAGTTTGGGGTTTAATTCATACAGTATTTTCAATTGCTTTTAAATATGATGAATTACACATAATTTTTTGGCCCTGTTTATGCATTTTTGGTTGAAAGATTGATGCTTTTCACATGTTGGATAAACTTGCCTTATCTTGATCATTCATTTTGAATGTAGAAACTCTTTTTTTTTTGTATGTGTCACCACTTCCTGTACAATGGCTAACCTTAGCAAATTATCTGCATATGGGTGACTTGTGAACATGTGTTCTGTCTTTCTCGACAGTTGACTACAATCGTTTTCGACAGTTGGGTAAAATAGGGATAGGCGAACTGTCGTTCCCGACAGTTATCCTCAGACATTCTCGGCAGTTGAGTCAATTTGTTACTGGTCAACTGTCGATCCTGACAGTTAGCTTCAGTAATTCTCGGCAGATGGCTGCCTTATGAAATAAACATATGTTCCATTTCTCATGAAATTTTCATCACATGTCATTTTACAGATTGATCATGTTGCCTTGATTTAGTAATTTCAAGACATTATATGTTTGACGTACATACGTTGATTGCTGTTTGTTTGCATCCGTGTGTATTGGCTTCTACATTTATAAGGTACGATTAACTGATCATTTTCCACTGTGTTTTCATTGCTGATGAGATGGAGTTTGAATTCTTGGTTCCTGAAGACGCAAGGTTGCGTGCACACATATCACAACGAAGTAACCTGACGTACGTGAAAAGGGTGTTGGAGCACTTCGACGACCGACAACTCTACGAGTCGTCCCTTAGGTTCTTGGCCGACGTTCCAGACATCCAATTCTCCGCCCAACTCATCCAACAGCCTGTCTTCAGAGGCATCCGAACAGACAAGTCGCACAAATTGTGGTTCAACGTGCAAGGACACTACTGTCGATTTGGACTGCAAGAGTATACAGTGGTGACCAGCCTGCGTTGCGTTGTCCCACCTGAGGACGATCAGTTTCATCGAGTGCTGGAAAAAATGAGACTAAATGACACGTATTTTAGAGCTATCGACAAAATTACTTGTGCCCAGATTGAGAAGACATTAGTTCGATCGTTTACCCCACGGGCTGATCGATACAAGCTGGGTCTTGCACTCATTATGGAAGGAGTATTCAACGCTCGGGCAATAATGTGGGTATTGATTTCATGACACTTTCGATCGTCGATGACCTGGATGTCTTTTTTGCCTACCCTTGGCGTAGAGTGGGGTACAATCGTCTCATCAAGGGATTCTGGGGCAAATTTCGCGATGGCAAGAGGAAGCATGAGAAGGTGATCACTTATACAGTTCATGGCTTTCCCATAGAAATGCAGGTATGGGTTATTTTTCAATTTGAGCTGAATTCCTTATTAACATGCCAGTCTGTCGGGATATTTAAGTTGACATTGACTATGTTTGACCCATCTTACGATAGATATGGGTGTTTTGAAGTGATACCTGAAATTGGCGAATGTTTTGGTCAGTGGGTAGGTGAACAATCCCCCCATCTACTCAACTGGACGGCCACGAAACAGTCGCAGCATTGCACATACGATGCATTCTTCAAGAAAGTTCAGGTAACGTTTCGTCTTCGAAGTTAGTGAAAATGTTATTTTCTTTCAATCCAAAAATTTCGATGACATTTAATTCCACTGAACAAACTGTTACTTCTTGGACAGCTGCATGTTTTCGCAATGCTACGTCCGACCGAGCGGAGCGCAACCAACACTACATCTCAACTCTTGCGCCATTTAATGATGATGCCGTGCCCGTTCTGGACGACCTTACAAGGACTATGGTTGCTGCGCAGTTTCATGCTGATGTTGATGCCGAGGAGAGTGGAGGACATGGGTAGGATTCGAGTTTAGAGGAAGAAGACGGTGATGAGACTAGTGGAGGGTCGGACGACATTGCTTCTGGTGCACGTGATCGTATAGGGCATGCTGCCGAAGAAATGAGGATTATAGTTCGGACAATAGAGGAGATGGCGGCTATTGTGAGAGCCTTGCTCATTGTGTTAGGCAGTCTGCCGAAGAACATGGGGATTCTAGTTCATAGAAGAGCGGAGATGAAGGTGAATGAGAGAGCCTTATTGATCGTGCGTCCTCAATATCCAGATAGCGGGGTGTACAAATTGGAAATGGGTTGACAAGATCTGAAATCGAGGACATATTGTTAGATCAAAGAGTCCTATTTGAGATGCGACTCCGACCCGTGAAACTTGAAATATTAGAGCACGTTACGGCTGAACACGCTAGACTTCGGGAATTCATATCGATGGTCGTGGCATGACGGGTGTAGAAATGGGACGTGGGTTGACAAGATCGTACGTCGAGTACATGTTGTTGGATCAAAGAGTCCTATTTGAGATGCGACTCCGAACCGTCAACTTGAAATAGTCCAGCACGTCACGACGGAATGCAATAGACCCCAGGAATTCATATCGACAGTAGTGTCACCACACATTTCCACCACATCGCAGCTCTAAACGTGCGAAACGACCCTGTGCAATCCCCACGACAACTGCAAGGTACGTGTGTAAAATGTCTTCGAATTTAAACTGCGGAGCTATTTACGTGTTAGATTACGGGTTGGGATAAACTTGCATTTTAAGACTCACCGTACAAATCTGCATGTTATGAAGACGACTTGGGCATTGACACTGATCACATGCCGGAAGAACACAATGCCGCGTTCGGTGGCGAACACCCCGAATTGAATGGTAAGCTCATGTTTATGCTTGTTTATTTCTGATTAGTTTCAAACTGACTAACCGTAGGTGGAATGTATGCTCATCTTACCGCTTTAGTTGTAGGGTTAGTTGTAGGGCATATATGTGTCCAGGTCAAACCAGAAAATGATCTACCTGAAATTCAGAAGGAAGACCGCTTCTGACGCGATGGAGGTGGATGTGGAAGGTAACTTCATCACAATACACTTTCGTCTACCCAAATAGTGCGACAGCTTCTCATGTCTTGCTCACTCAAATGTCATTGCGTTATTCCGAACTAATTATTTGTCTATTGTTGCTGTTCCGTAGGTGGAATAACTAATCGTCCAGTTTAGCCGAATGTTCCCGAAGCAGGTACTGTAAAAGAGGTCCCTATTCGCAGGCGACGATCCACAAGCCTTCGAATGCCTGCTGCATTGACCAGG